TTGGAAAGGCTGCTGGGGGTGAAGTCAGCGTGTTTCCCATGACTGGCCGGCGGCATCCTGGGCAGGACAGGACGGGCCATAAAAGGAGGGAGGCGGCAGGTGATCGTGAGAGATGGGGCTGAGGAGGTGACTCCCCGTGTTTATCTCGCCTCTGTTCTCAGAGCTGAAATCAGTTTGCTTTCTAGTCTGCCTGGCGGTGAGGAAACCACCGTGCCCCCGGCCTGGCCCTCCTCCCAGCCTCCGCCCTCGCTGGCGGGTTCTTCTGCACCCACGGCCCCAGGAGACGAGCCACAGGGCTTCCTGTGATTAGTTGCCCGTCTGGCTTTGGAAAGTGTCCTCCAGCTTCCAGGCCCCTGTGTTCCCTCCCCAGGTCCCCATGTTACCTGACACCCCCCCCCCATGGCTCCTCCCACAGGGGCTTCCCTCCCACGTCCCTGACAGCTGGTCAGTCTTTGTCAAAAACCTTCTAGGTGCCCCGGCTGGTCTGGCTCAGGGGACAGAGTGTCAGGCCTCGGGTTCAATTCTGGTCAAGGGCACGTACCTCGGTTGCAGGCGCAATCCCTGGCCCTGGTTGGGTCGCATGCAGGAGGCCACCCATCGATGTGTCTCTCTCCCATTGATATTTCTCCCTCTTTCTCCCCCTCTCCCTTCCACTCTCTCTAAAAATCAATGGAAAAATATCCTCGAGTGAGGATTAACCACAAAGAGAGAGAACCTTCTAGATGCACAACACTATGTGGTTCCACGAGAGATACCGAGATGATTAACCTAGAGGAGAGGCCGTGTGTCCATAGGAGCCGGGCAGAGGCGGGAGGTGACAAGGCCCGTCTGTGACCTGTGAGGATGGCAGGACCACGGAGAGAGGCTTCCCTGTGTGTGTGTATGTGTGTGTGTGTGGGGCGGGGGGGGAGCGCAAACTTGGGTCCAGGGCTGCCCAAGGTATGTCTTGACCGGCAGGCTCAGGCCTCCTGGCTGTCCTGGGCGTGGGGTGCTGGGGGAGGCTGGACGGCAGGCCTGTCCCCACCCCTCTGCTCGCCTTCCAGGCCCAACCTGGTGTCTCTGGACCTGAGCTTCAACGACCTGACAGACCTGCAGGGCATGATGGCCAGCCTCAGCACCCTGCAGCGCCTGCGGCTGCTGGTCCTGCAGGGCAACCCGCTGGCCCTGGTGCCCTACTACCGCGGCTTCACCATCGACAGCCTGGCCCGGCTCTGCGTGCTGGACGACATCACCGTGTCCTCCAGCGAGAAGCACCAGTTCCAGGGGCTCCGCTACAAAGCGGGTGAGGGAGCCGCCCGCCCGGCCTGCTGGGTGTCTGTCCCCAAGCTCCCTGGTTGGCCCGAGATGTCGCTCCCAGATTTGACCCGGTGACTGGGATTTGGGGACCAGGGGAGGGAGGCTGGGCCTCCATAGGCAAATGGGAAACTCTCTGATCAGCCTCTTCCCTTCCGTGGTGGCTTGAGATCACCCCCTGGTGGCCCTGCCACCAGCTGCACGAGGCTTCTCAAGGTCAAGGTGACAAACATTGACGCCAGAGGGCACCTCCCGGCAGGCCCTGCCCAGGCAGCGCTTTCTTACCTGGGAGCGTCCTGCGCCGACCGCGCCCTTCTGGGGTTCCCATCGCACAGGTCGGGGGGACCAGGCCAAAGGGCATCTCACCCGAAGGGGAACCTTTTTCGAAATCCGGCCGGCCTTGGGCCCCCGTCCGGGTCTGTCCTTCCCGGTTTCCACCCGGGGGGGCCTTCAAGGCCTGCCCGGTTTCCCCCTGGCAAAAATTCCTTGGCGCGGGAAGGGAAATTTTTGGGGGGGCCAAATGGGAAAAAATTAAAAGGGGTTTTTTGGCCTCCTCTCGGGGCGGGACCCGGAGGCGGGGGCCCCCAGGGCCCCCTTCTCCCCTTAAAGGTTTTAGGGGAACTTACAATTTCGGGGAGAACGGAGAAAGGGAAAGGGGGGGAAAAAACCCAAGGG